CTGTTGCGCATCGTCCGAGAACGGGCGCGGTTTTGCCGATCCGCTGCTGTCAGGCACACCATGTTCACCGTCCGCGACGGCAAGCGCCTCCATGCCCTCCACCGCATCGCACACTCCGCCCACCCTCTTCGCGTGCGCCTTGTCGTCCGTATGCCACGACGTCCCCTCCGAGCTCGGCGGCCGCAGACTCGCATCCGTCCCCGTCCCCGTGTCCGTCGTCGCCCCGCTGTTCGACGAATCCACACGCGGCTGCTCCGGCCTCCGCCCGCGCCCATGCGCCTCCGGACGGTCGGTGCTCGCCTCGCTCGCCCCCGCGTCCGCACTCGCGCTCGCGCTTCCGCTGTTGCTGCCGCTGTCTCCCCGCCTAATCTCGTTCGCCAGCCCGCTCGACCGCGCCGGGCCCATGCTCCCGCTCGGCGGGACAGGCGGGAAGTACCCCTCTGCGCCCTGCGCCTGCGCCTGGCCCTGCACCTGCGCCTGGCCCTGCACCATCGCCATCGACACCGGCACAGGCGGGAAATACCCCTGCGGCTCCTCCGCGCCCGCCTCGCCTCGCCCACCGGTGCGCGCCCAGTAGTAGCCCCCTGGGCTCCCCGGCATCGGGTGCGCGTGCACCGGCGCGCCGACGGCGGGGTTGATATACGGATTCACCGCGCCGCTGCCGGGGCGGCCCCAGAATGCGCCGGGCGACATTGTCACACCTGGCGAGAACGGGGAGAAAGGAGACATGACGTGCCCGTGCCCGTGCAGCATCGCACGGCCCGCGTCGTACCCCGTGGGTGCATGGCCATGGCTCTGCCCCTGGGCGGCGGCGGCGGCAGCGGCGGCTGCGTTCGCACGGCTGGCGGTCTGGTCCATGGGTGGGGGCACGGCAGGCGAAGGCTGCGGGAGGAACGTGAAGCTTGGCATGCTCGGTGTGATGGGCGGCAGCCCGTGCGGCGTCATCGTAACGCCCATGCTGATGCCCATGAGCCCCGGGTGGTGCATGGGGCTGCCCGGGTGCCCGGGGCGCATCATGGGCGAGTAGTACTGTGGAGAGAGCGTATGTGGTGGCGGCCCCGGGAACGACGTGACGGGCGGCGGTGGCGGCAGCGCGATGGGCCCTGGGTGCGCTGGATGTTGGTGTTGCTGCGAACCTGCATGCTGCTGAGACACGGGCGTATGTGGCGACGCGTGCAACTGGGAGGCGCCGTCGGAGCCCGGCCTCGGCATACCTCCCTCCAGTTCGTGCGCACCGTCGGGCGACATCTGGCTCTGCATCCACGAGCGCTCCTGCATCACTGCGGCTTCCACCGCGCGCGCCGAGCCCGCGTTCGCGATGTTCTCCTCCGAGGCCGATCCTGAGCCCGACCCCGACCCCGACGCGTTCGCCAGCGTACTGAAGCTCGACGCGGACGGCTGGAGCGCCTGCGCCTGCTCCGCGCTCGGCCCGTAGCGGCTCCCGCCCGCGTCCGCGTACGGGTCGTACGGCGTGTTCGGGCCCGAGCTCAGGAACTCGAACATGTACGGCGAGTGGAACGGCATCGGGATGTGCATCGCGTGCGGCTCCTGGTGCTGCGCCTCGCTCTGCGCGTGCGGGCTCACCGCGCCAAAGTCTGCAGGATGGGCCGGCGGCCGCGTCTCGTCGTACACATGATACTGGAACGCGTCCGCGCTCCCGTGCGCTTCCCGCATCTGCGCTGCATGCGCGTCCAGCATCTGCGCCGTATGCGCGTCCATAATCTGCGCCGCATGCATCTGCGCCGCGCCTTGCATCTGCGCCTGCATCTGCTGGTGCTGCAGCACCTGCTGCGCGAACGAGGCCGAGTGCGCGAGTGGGTGTGGATGGTGGATCGAATGCTGGGGCGTCATGACGGGGGTCGGCCCGTGCGGGTGTGCAAACACAGGCGAGCTCGGGCCCGGGCCCGGCCCCGCGACCGCGAGTGCAGCGGTGGCCGCGGGCGCGGAGAACTTGTCAAAGTGCACCTTGAGCGCGCGCCCGTTGTACTCGTACCTGTGTGTGCGTCGCGCAGAGAGGGTCAGTAGCGCACAAAAAATGCATGCATGCCGGCGGGAGCGAGGCAGAACGCATGCCGGAGGGAACGAGACAGAGAACGGGAACAACGTACCCATTGAACATACGCACCGCGCGCTCCGCATCGGCCTCGTTCGCGAAGCTCACCGTGCCGAACCCGCGCGAGCGCCCGTCCGCCCCGAGCGCGACGTCGGCGCGGGAGATGGCGCCCGCCTGCCGGAAGAGGTCCTTGAGGTCCTGCCACTGGATGTGGAACGGGAGCTACGGGGCAAACGGCGGGTCAGCTATCAGCATCTCTGGACGGATTGGGCGGCGGCTGGACGAAGGAAAAATACGGACAAGTCCTAGAGCGAGAGACCGGATGAGCCCCTCAGTGTGAGAGACGGATGCGCCCCGCAGAGCGGGAGACGCGCCCGGGAGCCGACCCAAAGAGGATGCACAGGCGCGATCACGGGGCCGCGTCGCACGGCGCGCCCTAATGGCCCCCCAAAATGTGCGCGACTTTGCAGTATCCAAAATGGAAACACTCGGCCTCTGCCGCACCGCGGATTCAGGACCTGGAATCTGACAGGTCCGCGTCCGTGTACGTACATAGTGCATATCCTCGTGCACGCAGGGAAGGGAAGGGCCATACGCGCGCCAGCGCCGCCACCGCCTCGCCCGTCACCGCCAGCACCAGCACCAGCACCCCTAGTACGCCCCGCGCACATCGTCATTGCACCGTCGCGTTGCGCCCCTGGCCATGCACGAGCCCGGCACAGGTGCTCCCGTAAGCGACATCGGCGCATCGCGAAACCACTCGCACAAGCCCGCCGCGAAACCACTCGCGCCTGTACACCCAGCACAACACACAACGGAATCACGGGGTCCACACTGTGCAGCCCAGGGCTCCGACTGCACTGCGCAGATCCTCCGCCCTCCGTCCTCCGCCCTCCGCCCCGGGGCGCACGAGCACGAGCACGCGCACAAACGAACGCAACCCCAGCGCACACCAACCTCAGCAAAGCAAAGCACGGCACTCACATTCCCCACAAACAAATTCCGGCTCGCGCCGCTCCCCCCCGTCCCCGGCCTCGACGCGCCCGCCTCCTCCTCTACACCCACGCCTATATGCGCACACACACGCCCGATCGCCCATCAGCACAACACGCCCCGCTCTCACGACACACAAAACACACGCACCTCGCGGACTCGCCGCATGCGGCGGCGACAGCGCCAGCGCGACCCCGGCCATCATCGGGCTCGCGGGCCCCTCCGCCAACGGCCCGGGCCAGTCGTCCACGCCTGCGCCCGCGCCGCCGACGCCCGCGCGGTCCTTGCGGACCTCGAGCACGCGGCCCTGCCACGCCCAGCCCTGGAAGAGCGCGACGGCGCGCTCGGCGTCGTCCTGGGTCGCGAGGAGGACGGTGCCGTGGCCGCGGCTGCGGTTGTCGGGGCCGAGCGCGACGTCTGCGCGCAGCACGGTGCCCGCGCGGCGGAAGAGGTCCTTGAGGTCCTGCCAGCGGACGCGGTAGGGGAGCTGTGGGGGGCGCGCGAGTGAGTGAGGCGCGGTGCGGGTGAGAGAGGGGAGGCGGGAGGCAGCACACTCACGTTGCCG